ATGTAGATATGCTGCATATTACGTATGTATATGCATGTATGTGTGTACATATATGTGTGTAAAAATATATATGTGCGGATGTATATGGATATACAGGTGTCCTTATGTGTATATGTATATATGTAAATATAAGTGTGTATGAAGATATATGGATATGCGTTTCTCTGCAGGTGTATATGTGTAAATATACATATGGTTTTTTCGTGTGAATGTGTGTGTAGGTGTATATAGGAACTCATAGGCATATAAGAAGATATAGGTATGTGGATATAAATAGGGGTTTAAGACATGTGTAGATAAAAGATTATAAAAGAAGGACCTAATTTTCTGCTAGTGACATCTCATCCAAATCTCTCTAATATTCTCCAATTGGAAGTGAATTTTAAATAGCATGAAGGTAAAGTTTAAATTGGTATTTTAATTTAGATTGAAATATACTACCCCATTATTGATGATAAAATTATTTAAATGGGAATAACTGTTGATAATTGGGTAAATAAAAACAATCACGAGTTTACTTAATGAACAAAAATCAAACGAATAGATGTCAACCTAACAAGCAATAAGATAAAAGTTTTAGTAGAATAAAAAAGATTACTAAATATAAAATGGATTACTCTTTCAATGTTCTGTCTATGAATTTTTCCAATCGACTGTTTCATAGAAAATACCCAAAACTCCACCGAATTTCAAATTAATTTCTTCAGAGATTGTTTAGACATTTAGATATTTATCAAACCTTAACCTCTCAAATATGCATGTGAAAGTAACGCAAATTAACATCGTCTAAGAATTTGAATGAAACCTGTCATGGAATGTAATTGATTGGGGCTGTTGTAGCTTCTTCCTTTAATGTCGGTCTTCTCCATCACCCCTTAGCCATCTATATCTAGAGACGAGACGCGTTAAATTTGAGCAACGTCTAGCCGACACACTGGAGTTAAAAATAGGTAATTGAAATGATACATATGACACACTCATATCCTCTCTCCCACCTCACTTCGTTAATTTTATGTATACTTGATGAGGTCCGTCAAAAACGTAAATTCTTTTTCATTTTAGCTTTTGGAAGTAAAGTCTGATGATCCAGAACCCTGTTAAAGGGGTTATGGTGAAATAGCTTATTACATGGAATCTTAACGTGGTCTGTTTTTTATTAAAAAAATATATATATATATATATATATATATATAGGGTAAATTGTATGACAAAGGGTAAAAGTTTACTTGTTTCATCCTTCAGGACTTCAGAATAAATTTATGCTGGTATGACTACACATGTGCACGAACGAGGGGTATTGGGGATTTTAGAATTTGTTTTTATATATCTATCTAAATTCATTTAAAGTCTTTTTTTGGTTAAATAAAAAAAATTCTCACAAGTAAACTTTTCTCTACTTTGTCATACAATTTCCAAAATATTGTTCTTGATATAAAATATCCCATTATGTGTGTGTGTGTGTGTGTGTGTAGTAGTAGTAGTTAGTGGAAAGTGCTCAATATCCATGATAGAGCTAACATATTCAGTTGCATGGATAGTAGTTTGTAACCACAGGTTTCACGCTTTTGTGATCATCAGACAAACTGGTTTATTTTTTAAAAATCAAATCTATTTATGCTTATTTGTTTGATTACTTGTGTGTGGTGGAGGGGAGAATTTTCTTCTATGTTTGTTTGGGATGACACACTCACATACATAGACACACATACATACAATTGTATGCATTTCAGTTCATACAAACACACCCATATAAATAATCTGAGGTTACGTGCAGATATACATCTATGTGTTTGAGTACACATATATACATAATTGCCATTCTATTGCAGTGTCAAGACTAATGTTACATATGTAGCAATGTGATCTTAACAAAGAACAGGATGGGGTGGTCTTGATGTTTTTAAGATCAGCTGTCCATGCCATCAGACATGCACACATTCAATCACACATACACAAATATATGTAGACGTGTACGCACACTCATTGATCTGGGTCCACTACCACCACATAGGTTAAATCGGGTTCTGTCTGTAGCCATGATGATGTTTATTCAAAGCTTAATAATAACATTATTACCAACTCTAAACACACATCAAAAACATTACATTGCCATCCTTTTTTGATTCCATTCTTAAAGAATCTCACTTATCTCTATCTAATACAGACAGTATGTACATAAAAACAGCCTAGATGAATAGAATACCACCACACTATGTTGACTGATCATACAAAAGTGAAAACATTAGAACTTCTCCAACTAGACAGACACACATACACAATTACAAATATGAATTTTCATCCAATGCCTGCTTAGACATATTAGAATTTTCACAAACTTTCATACATATAGAATAATCTATGGTTATAATGCACATGACTGACCAGTGAGAATTGAACCATACAGAATTGAAAATACCAGAATTCTGTCTTTTTGCCTGTTTTCTCTCAATCTCTGATGAAGCTTTAATAAAAGTCAAACATCTTAGATTGATAAATGTTTCCTATTTGATCTACATTTGCTTGTTAACTGTGTGTGTGTGTGTATATATATATATATATATACATATACACAAGTATATAATTGGTATATACGGAATGAATTCCAATAACCAACAATTACTATTCTTAAAAGAGTGCTCAATACAAAGTAGAGCAGATATAATTTTTTTTTATAAAAAATAATTATATATATATATATATATATATATATATATACACACACACACACACACACACACACACTGTAGGCCAAAGAATTTGGACCACCCTCTGGATTTGATAAATAGTAAGTTTCATGCATTCTTTGGTTTGACTGATTCCTACTAAGCTAGGATACTGAATCTAATTATACCATTAGTGTATTGTATCCAATTTTTTAGAGAGCAAGTTAAAATTTAACAAATGCCAGCCCTAAAATTACCATTAGCCAGCATGGTAGATTAGACAAAAGATCTCAAATTTTATGGTAACTATGCAGTTATAGGTTAATATTGTTATTATTATTGAATATATAATAAACCCTTCAGGAAGAGAAAGTACTTCTGGGCTGAATTGAGCTAGTTAATTAGTTTTAAAAAAGGCACACAACCATCAATTTTTAAGCAATTGCTTAAGATATCTCAAACGCTTTTGACAATGTATGCCACAGTCGATTGTGAGACAGACTCTCCAGCTATGGCATTTCTGGAAGAGGATGGTCACTGTGAATGGCAAGCCTCCTGAAGCTCAAAAGATCAATACAGGCATCTCCCAAGCCTCTATCCTCAGTCCTAACCTCTTCCTGCTTTTTATTAACAATCTGTCTAAGATCATTAGTAAACACCTATGCAAATGATGCCACATACTTACAAAAATCAACATGTTCAAATCCTTGCAGCTGATCTCTCCTCTGATCAAGTTCTAACAGCTCAATGGGAAAATAACTGACTTATAACTTTCGATACCTCAAAAACCAAGCTAGTTTCATTTCATCATCACTGTCCAGACACCAAATTCTCTCTCGTCATGATGAATGGTTCTTTCTCGATGAGGTTCCTTGTTTTGAATGTTTATTTGGTTTAACTCCAGATCTCAAGTGGAACTTTAAATACAATCCATTGCTAAAGATGCTGAAAAATGGCTGGCAAGAAATACTTGACTTTTGCTATACTTTATCTTTACAAGAGTTAGATTAGACCAAAATTAGAGCATTGTTGGAACTGCTTAATCCCCACGTTTTAGACTTGATAGAGTTCAAAATCATTTATGCAGTCTTGTAGAGGTGGGGGGGAGCTTATTTGCCACTCTACAGCCTCTTCCCACAGATGAAACATCATTACTCTATAACTATTTCCACGGCAAATATTAAAATGAGCCCCATTCTTTAGTACCAACAGTTCAGACTTTTACAGCTCAGACATGCCTTGTCTTCTCCAGAGTCAAATCACTTTCATTTCCACTATGTTCTCAATATAAAAAAAAGTTCTACTAAAACAATTTTTCCCCAAGAATTGCCACTTTGTGGAATGAATTCCCATGCAAGTACTCAGCTCTTTAACCATAACATTTCAAGTCAAGCATCAATTGTTATTTATAAACCTTATAATCTTCACTTGCTACTATCAGACCCAGAATTATTACCAATCAGGATTAATGGATGTTTTCTCCTTTTAGCTATCATTGGGACTTAAGTTCAACCCAGACCTAAAGTGGAACTTGTATATACAATCCATTTTTAAAGATGCTGGAAAAATGGTCAGATCCCTGTAATGCTCCAGTAAGGACCTGAGTCCACCTGCTAACCTTTACAAGAGTCAGATCAGGCCCAAAATGGAGTACTGCTGCTATATACAAGCAGGATCTACCCAGTCTTCACTTTTCTGTCTCACTAGAGTTCAAAAGAGTCTTTGGGTCCTTGTGAGTGACAAGTTATTTTCCACCCTACAACCCCTTTTCCAGAGACAAAATGTCATAAGCCTCACACTGATTTATCGCTATTTCCATGGAAATGCTCAGATGAACTACATTCCTTAGTACCACCAGAATTACTTTCTCACCTAAGACCCACCATGCCACAAATATTGTAGTGAACCCCACCTCATTCGCTTTGTATTCCTTTGGTGAAATGCAGGTTCTACTCGATCAGCTTCTTTCTACAAATTGCTGCTCTGTGGAACTGACTCCCAAGAAGATGCTTCCCCAATCACTACAATCTAACCTGTTCAAGTCTAAGATTAACCGTTATCTTCCTCACATACCTGCATAAATTATGCCTCTTACACAGCAACGCTCTACCTCGAATATCCCCCATTTTTGTACAGGGTGAACATTATTGTAAAACATAAACCTTCCCTTCCATTCATATCACAGACTTTATTCATCATTACTATTTTAACAGCAGCTCTTGAGTCTTGTATTGGGTGAATTTTAATAATAAGCAGTAAAAAGACTTAAAATTACATTGGTATATTGTACTACTACTAAATACTAACTTATTACTTAGTGATTAAAGTTTCACTTACCAGGTTGTACCAGGCTGTGATGATAAGTTTTTCTTCTTCTTCCCGAATACTTTTGGTCTTTTCTTGATCTCTCTAAAAACAAAAAAATAAATTCAATTTAAGAACACATACCATATATAATTATGGCTAAAATAAATAAGTTTAATAATGATGGAAATTTCATTGTTAAGCAAGCAGACCTCAAAAGTCATTACTATTAAGTAATCTGACTTTTCTTGAGGAATGAATTTATCTGTTAAAAACGAAATTATAAAAAAAAAAACAAGAGTCATAAAAGAAGAGCTATAAAGTTAGATTAATGTTTTTAATAATGACTAAGCCCTAACACTAAACACACACAAAAAAATTCATACCATGATTGTATGCAATATTTTCACTTTTTGGGAGTCCCTGTATGCACACACTCAAATTATAAAAAAAAAAAAAAAATAAATAAAAAAAAAAAAAAATAAAAGAATAAAAAAAAGTATCAACTGTTATATTTTAATAACTGGCTGAAAATCAACCTCAGGTAGGGCAGGATTTTATGCTTATTCTTTTGGAAGGCTTTGACCCTAACAAAAACAAAAAAAGAAAAAAAAAAAAAAAAAAAAAAAAAAAAAAAAAAAAAATATCAAAACCCCCACCAAACAAAAAAAAAAAAAAAAACAAAACCAAAAACATCAAAACAAAACCAAAACAAAACAAAAAAATAAAAAATTCAAAACAAAAAAATAAAAAATTCAAAACAAAAAAATAAAAAATTCAAAACAAAAAAAAACAAAAAAAAAACCTTAATTACTTTGTTCTACTGTCACACACACACACAGATGTAAGCAACATACCAAAAGAAGTAATGATGAAAAAAAAATGAGTAAAAAGAAAGGCCAACAGCATTTTTTTCATGGACAGAATAGAAAAAAAGGATGAATAGAGTAGAAAAAAAAAGAAAAAAGGACACAGTTTGAACAATAGACTGATTTTTGATGTCTTGTTTTGTTTTTGACAAAAGTTGAAGCAGTGTAAAAAAAATTTTTTTTTTTTTTTTTTGATTGGCAGCTTTGAATGCTTTGTCTAAAGTCATGTTTGGCATGATTTCATATTGTATATGCTACAGTTGTAATTTTTATTTTTGTTGTGAGGGAAAAAAAAAAAAAAAGGACCATGAAAGTTATGCTGTTAAGAAAATTTTTTTTTTTCTTGAAGTAAATTTGACCAGTTTTGGTGATTGGCCACGTTAAAGCCTGAATTTGCATACATGAATGCAATGGAAAATTTTTTGGGAAAAGAAAAACTGATGACATTTTGTGATGGAGCATTCCCATTGTGATTTCTGTGGACTGTTGAGTTGAAAGTTTTTGTGACTATGGTTTTGTGTGCATTCAAATGTTTTAAGTTTAGAATTATTTTGTTAATTGTAACTAACTGATAAATGATTGTGGAATTCTATTTTAAGCCATGTGTGTGTCCTTTTGCCTTCATTGGTTAAAGAATTAAGTTATTAATTGTTGAATTTTGAGAATTAATTTTTTGTGGAAAAAGTTAGCTAATTGTTGTGGAAATAAGTAGATTTGGCTTGGATGGTTTCAGATTTCCAAATGTGTTTGGGTCTGTGTTCTGGGGTGGAAATGGTCACACCTAGCTATGTAGTTAAGGATTTGATGTTTTATGGGGAGTAGAATGGAGGTTTGTGCAACATGAAGTATTTCTATCGAATAAATATACTCTAAGATACCCCTGGGGCCAAGTTGTGATAGCAACTAAGAAAGAAATCCTTGTAACCACAGTAGAGCCATTAATAGATGCTGAGCGGGTGTGGTTGTTTTCCTCATGGGGGCAGCCAGGGGCAGAAGAATTTCAGATGATGTGAGTTGAGTTTTGGGCACACAAAGGCAGATGAGCAATGGAAACCATTTTCATGACACAAGAGTCATTTTAATAACAATAATTCTAGTACAAGAAATTACCATTCCAGGTTAAAGGTATGCCAGAAAATTGCAATATCCTGAATACGTGTTTCAACTTAAATCAAGATTAAGCCTAAAGGCGATATTAGATCATTGCAAAAGTTATTGCCTCATTTATAATAAATGACTAAAGTACTAAATAATAACTAAATGAGATCTCCCTAGACATGGGGCAGTGGAATGAGAACAATCTACTCAGTAAATAATGTAAATAAGAATAAATCAAATTATTTGGTGCACTCAACACAAATCAATTTTACACTGTAATTTTCTGTTGTTGCATTTCCAGTCATTCAGAAAAATAACTAAAGGCACAGTAGATCAAGAAAAGAAATACCATGCCAACAATAATTACAGCATGTCAATTTGATGCTTGTTCGTATTTGAAGAAATACTGACAACATCAAGGTTGTAAACATCCAATGTGACCCAAGTTTTCTACTGACCAGCCAATGATTACCCCATGTTTTATTTCAATTCTCAATTTCGTTGGTGCGCACCGTAATCTGTTGCAGTTCATAAGGCAATAAGATGAAAGACAAATGCCATGTTGAGAAATAGGAACATGAACTGTTTCCCATATACAGAGGTGTTTCATTCACAGCTTCACTTGCCTGTCTGGGTGGAAAGATGTAGGTAGGTAGGTGGTACTTCGGACAATTTCTGCTATGTTGGTCTAACAGCTCAGCTCTTCCCCCTAACAACTTCCTTGCCCATCTACTCATCTTGATGTGGTGGCTGACAATACAAATAGATGGAACAGGAACCATGTAATGACAGGTTTATCTCTCATAAAAGCAGACCAGAACTCTTCCCTGATCCAAAGCATGACTACACCCAGATATACCCTATTTCCGGTTTTGTTAATACTTGATCCCCAAAAACCCCTTATCAACTCCTTTACCCCTGTATTACTCTTCAGCCAAAGTGGATGTTGCTTAGAAGAACCAAACTTTAAAAGGAACCATCTGCTGGATATTAGACAGAAAAACTATCTCTTCTCTTTTTATGTGGATGTCTATAGTGTCACAAAACAAGTCAAAAGATAAAAAGAAATTGAAACCAACTGTCAATAATAATAATTACTACATTTATCTGCTATGCTTTCTAATATTAAACTATTTTTATTTTCTAAAACACCATTCACAATGACTATTTGAGAGGATGCTGAAAAGTTATTGGCTTGACAACTTTTCAATACCAGCTCATACTAGCAAAATTGTTAAAAAATATACATTGATTTTTATTTGAAACTTTTTAAAAAATACTTGTGTCAGTGTGTTATTAAAATATATCTTGTATCAGTACATATATCAAATATATAATATCCAATATTAAACACGTATTTAATTCATTCTGACCCAAGGAAGGCTAAGGTGAAACTTCTACTCAATAAACAGTTTTTCATTGTGTGTGTGTATATATATATATATATATATATTGACAAATGGGAAACATTTCATTGAAACAAGATTTGATTACATGTTTAATCTTTCTAGGCTTCATCGAATCCAAAAGCAAAAGAAAGAAATGTGTGTAAGTGTATGCTTAGATAATGAATCATAGTACTTGTTTCATAGGCTAGCATTTCTTGTGATTAAAGAAAGAAAGTGAGTGACTTTAAAAAGCTGTTAATATTTATTCTTTACCTATTCTTTATAATTCATAGTTCATGTCAAAAGTTGTTAATATATTTTTCCTAGTTTTTGTATCAAATTAAAAACTGTCAAAATTCTATATCCTTTTTTAAAACACAAATATATACGTGTGTGTGTATATATATATATATATATATATATACACACACACACACAAAAAAAAAAAAAAACAAAACATTTCTCACATATTACTTCCTTCACACATCACCTTTCTTTATCACACACAAATTAAGCCTCATAAAATTCTATATAAAAAAAAAAAAAATGCAAACCTCAAGATGATCAATAAGCTTCTGTTTTTCATCCAATTGATTCCGAAGAGCTTGGATTTCAGGACCAGATGCAGCATTCTGTTTTAGATCCAAAGACTTGAATATCTTAAAAGAATGAGGTGGGGGAGAAAAAAATAATCAATAAAATAGGCTCTACAGCAGGTGGCAGGTATTTACAAACATACATTTAATGAGTCATAAATCAAAAACAGCCTAGCAATGTCATGTACAGACAATTTTACCATTCTCATTATTTTTTTAAATCTATTGACTGCATTAACATATCAGCTTCCAATCAGATGCAAGAAATGAAAAGGCACACTGTTCTTGTAGCTATCTGCTAACACAATGTATTGGAGATAACAAGCTTCTTGAAAATGGCCAGGTGAACACATAGAACAACAGGTGGATCTGTAGGGTAGCCACAGTGATACACATTAAGTTCAGGTCCTCTATAATAGCCCGGGGTGGGGCCATGAGGAAGAACAGTCATGACATGTCACCTCTTCTCCTGTCAGGGCCTACATCAGGGTGCTAGTCACTGGTCAAGTTCTGGTTCACAATGGTGGCCGGTACATGTTCTAACAGAATTCTGTGATACACAAGTAACTGGCTTTTCATAATCCTGTTACCCCCTCTCCACCAACATGTGATCTTTGAGCTCACCTGAATTGAATCTCCTGGACTAATCCATCAGAGCAATCATCAAAGAGACAAACTAATGACGCCACAATACTAAGAACCCACTAAGCCTTCTATATATTGTGGACATGGCAAACATGAACAAGAAACATTTTATCAGAGTAAACAGCCATAGCACTATTTAAGTAGACAGGTCCACTTGTTAAAAATAGGGCAATATTTTTTTTTGTAATTAATTTTTATAGATTAGTATTCATTGGATCTTCTTCAAGCCATGATATTTGTCATTATCAAAGTAAAATATTGACATTTTATTGATTTAGAAGTGGGGGGGTCTTGTTCATAATATAAATATAGTATAAAATCGATCTCTGATTTTTAACAGAGTTATTTCTACTTAATTATTTTAATTAAAAATGTCAAGTTTGAAATTGTTTACATCACTAATATCAGCATACAAAACCAAGCCTTTTTTCCTTTGTTTTACAAAATTATTTTTGAAATAAAGAACAAACAGATATTAAACATATATTAAACAAGCAATTGTGTGTCCAGTGAAATTTTTTTTTTTTTTTTTTAAATATTTATATGATGGTGGGCTGAAAAGTTCATTAAATATGACGGGTTGATGCTAGAGCTATGAAATCTTGCATGCATTAATTTCAACTCTTCTTAATAACTGTATTATTTCTTTTCGGGTAAGCTGACATCTGATTGTCCAAAGACTTTATCTTGTTGGTCAAAAAATTCAGCATCACTGTGATACTGGCTCCTAGTCAAATGTTTTTTTTTTTATGTTGGGGAACAGATGATAGTCAAATCAGGAGAATAAGAAGAGTGATCAACCATTTCAAATCCAGTCATGCACAGCAGTCATTGAAACCAAGGATTTGTGTGCTGGAGCATTATCCTGATGAAACAAGACCCCTTTTGTCAGTTTTCCTGGGCATTTAGTCTTAACAGCTTTTTGTAACTGCCTCAGAAAGTTGGCATAGTACTCGCCATTGATGGTATGTCCCTTTTGAAGATAATCAATAAACAATGCCTTTTGCAACCCAACAAACCGAGTCTATCACCTTCTCTAGGATGAAACTATGTTGACATACTTTGGAACAGATGAGGAGTGGTATTTCCACTGTATGGATTGTCTTTGTTTCTGGCTCAAAGTGATGAACCCAACATTCATCTTGGGAAATGGTCAAGGAAACTAGCTGGATCTGCCTCAAACTATGTCAGATTTTCCTGTTGAACTTTTGATCAGTTGTAAGAAGATGTGGAACCCGCCAAACAAACTTGTCATGCCAAGTTCATTATACAGAATATTCTCAACTGTCTTTTGAATTTTTCTCCACATGACTGTGTATAAATACAGGTTATCAAATAAAATTTCCACACTTATCCTTGATGAATTTCCTCAAGGAATGAAATACATTTGTACAAAACCTTTTTCTTTTTTTTTTGTTAAATAAATATTCATGTCTAGCCATATTTATTTATAGATATTTTCAGACATGCCACTTACTGCTTTGGCTTTCTGCAAATAACGTCTGTAGGTCTCTTCCATTTTCTTTAACTCATCATCCTTCTTGTTCAGTTGATCCTGCAACCGATGGATTTGGTCAGCATCACTGGATCGCTGGCGTTCCATTTCTTCAATCTGTTGCTTTCTCTCAGCCAGTTCAGACTCCAAACTCTGCAGACGACGTTTCTGCTCAGCTGCTGTCTTTTTCAGTTCAGTTAGTTCTGTTGTGGTCATATCTGCTGATGTCTGTGAAGCCTGCAGTTCATCAAGCTGAGCTTGAAGCTCCAGTTTTTTTTGGTTTATCACTCTATAGAAAATAAAGATTATAATGAAGAAAAAATTTATGAAGAAAAAATTTAAAAAAAAAAAAAAAAAAAAAAAAAAATTAAGTTTAACAGGACTCAAAAACAAGACCATTTTCTCAATTTTTGACAATACTATAAGAAAAATGGAAACTAAAAGGAAAATTAAAATCAGAAAGAGACAGCTGAAATTTCCTGGACAAATGATG